GCAATCTTTCTCACGCGTCGCGCTAGTCTGAGGCTCACACCCACCCTTGTCCCTGTTACAGTTTCCACTCTTGGCGGTCCTGACCACTGATCTATTGTACAGACTCCCTAAAAATTTGCCACACATAGCTCCATCATCCTCTCTTATTATTTCACACCACACCCTGAATGCATTGATTATAATTTGATTGCTAATCATACCTTTGTTTTTAATTTATTTGGCATTTACAGTCAGATAATTAAGAAAAATTTATATAATAATAATACAATAATTATAATATATCCAGCACCCAGGGGCATTATTGTTCATGTGGTTTTTGAGGAGCCAGTGTTTACTGGTAAATGTAGTCCACAATGATGTTAAAAAGTGTTTTTGTATGGCTTATAAATCCCTAATTAGCAGATAATTTAATTCCACTAGGGTAAAACATTGATAATTAATTCAATGTTGAAAATGATGTTGCTTTCATTTCATCCGTCCATAGTTACTAGACAATTCGAAGAAAAATTAAGCGCCCTAAGCGTTATTCCTAATAGCCTTTATTGTTAGAGGGGGCGGGGGAAGGGGCCGTTTATTCGTCGGGCGTTTGTTCAAAGCAGGGCATTTATTTGAAGAAATACTTGAAATTATTAATTGTTATTTAAAACATGAGGATCACAGACAGGATGTTAGACCATAAATTAATTATTATTAGTCTTTTATGCACTTTAAATTATGACGTTAAATCTTTTAATTGTGTTTGGTTTCATGTTTTTTAATTGTCTTCGCTAGTTATGTTTATTTTGTGAAAAATAAATAAGGTCCTCCCTCCATGCATTAAGCGAATAAGCAACAATAAGTAATTGTTTTTTAAATTGCACAAATGTATTAGCGTAGACTTTTGTGTGTCTCGCATGACTCGCACTGTTGGCACACGTCCCGCAAGAATTACATTCATGGCCTCGCATGAATTGCATGCCTCGCTGGATACTCGCACTTTGGCAACCCTCTAATCACAGAAAGAAATTAAAACAATTCAATAACCTAGACCCTACTATAGTACAATACTGTACTTACCCGGGGTTGGGACAGCGGGTAGGGGGAGAGGGGAAGAGTGCACGTCGGGGAGTTCTGGCCTCTCTCCCACCCTCTGTCGGGGAGAAAAACCACAATTCGTCGGGGGAAAAATGTAATTTATTGGTCGCCATATTAGTAGACACCAAAATCAACTAAGTAAGACTTTCAAACCAAAAATTGTTGTTTTTCTTCGGGGGGGGGGGGGGGGGAGACCCGTGGAACACTTTCGACGGATATCGGCCCCTCGTCGGGAACCTCGGACCCCGGCCCAGTGTGGCAGAGCCAAACCAAAGGAGGGATAAGTCGAAATTTTCAAAATTGGGTTTTGTACATATTATGAAACTAGACATTATTATCTTCATAATTTAAAAAGATCACTTTGATATGATAGTTTATGGTGAAGTTATGGGCAATCAAAGTTAGGATACTTGGCTTGGCTCCGCAACAAATCATGGCGCCACCCACCCCAGTACTAGAGTAGTGCCAAAAATTTTTTTTATTTTTTGGCCTAGTAGATGCAAATGAATAACACACCGGGGAGCTTTGCCTGTGTAGTCCAGTCATGCGCAGTACATACACTTTTGGACTTTTTTTGGACTTTTTCGAATCGTCGATTCGAAAGTATGCAGCACTGATAGATGTTGTTAAAATACAGACATCTTCTTTTGAATCCGTAAAAGTGACAATGACAATATTTTAATATAAATTCTGATGTTCTAAATACATAAATATATATAAATTTATAAATGAATATATGAATAATTGCAGTATATATAAAATATTAATACAGTATATATAGATATATAAATATGTATAAAAATAAATATATAATAATATATATATATTAATATATATATGTATAACAAACAATATATAAAAAAATTTAAATAATTATATAAAAAAATATATAAACATTTAAATATATATAAATACATATACACAAAATATATAAATATATAAATAATTACAATATATATAAAATGATAATACAGTATATAAATAAATATATATATACACAAATAAGTATATAAAAATAAATGTATAAATATATATATAATAAATATTTGCTATATATAAATGAATATAGAATAATTATATATATAAATATATATATAAATATACAAATAAATATAAAAATATATAAATAAATATATAAATAAATACAGTATATATAATATATATATATATGTATATATATATATATTTATATCTGTATGTACGTATCTGTATATCTGTATTTTAACAACATCTATCAGCGCTGCATACTTTCGGATCGACTCATTCGAAAGTGTATGTACTGCGCATGACTGGACTTCACAGGCAAAGTTCCCGGTGAAAAAAAAAAAGATTTAAAATGTATGGCTCGCATGGCTCGCGCATTGGCTCGCATGATTCGCTGGCTCGCACTTTGTCACGACCCCGAGTACTACTTAGTCATGGATTTTCCAATCTTAATCCTATGGACAAATTATCTTACTGGAAGAGAAAATGGGTCTAATAAATTAAAATTACAACTTTTACAACATGACTGTAAAAGTTAAGATTTTATTTTAGTGTTCACTGCTTTGAAACAATATTGCCGGCTATATTCCAGAAAAAGAGAAAAGAAACCGAATGTTAATACCTGTATATGTAATTTAAGTAAATTAAATTAACTTTCCAATGTCGTGTATATTTGTATTGTATAAATGTTATGTATGCCTATTATGCGCCTATTCAGTGCAGATTCTTCAGTAGCCTAGGCGAGGGTCTTACAAGAGATTCTGCTTAGGCCTAACTTCACGTAAATGAGGCATAGGCCTAGACGGACTGCTGCGGGTTGCTGGACGCACAATCTAGGACTAATCCCCAGACTGCTGAAAAGACCTCCTGGTCCGACCTAGCTCAGGCTTAGTTAGAGGGAGCCTAGACCTACGAACGTCCATACCAGTTGCCAATCGTCTGAAAATGGACTCATCGTCCCTCACCGGCCCGTAGCAGACTGAACAGCATAAGAGAAAACTAAGCTAAGCCTCAGTCTGCTCGCCTTCTAAATTCACATTACAGTATTTTCTTCCTCCATGAGTGTAGTGTGATGTTTTTTTGGTAGACGGCATAATTATACATGACGTCACTATATACAAGCCACGCCCCCTCGGCTCAACCCCTTCAACTACCAGAATACGGGCTGTAAAATTTGTCCAGAATACGGGCTGTATGGTGACGCTGTTGTCCAGAATACGGGCTTTCTTACGTCATATTCTATTTTTAGATTTTAGAACAACAGTGGAATGTAAACAGTAAAATTATAAAAAATAGCAAGCAAGAGTATGGTAAATGGTAAATTTTACGATTTTCATGGATTTTCTAAGCTACAGTTGTAGGCCGACATTGCAGTGCGGCATATAGGATGTTGATGTTTGCCTGGCCTAGGGCCTACTCCTAGCCTCTGCCGCCTAGTCACACTGCTATATACCTGTCTCTTATACACATCTAGATGTGTATAAGAGACAGGGCCTGGACCCCCTGTTCGGACGACTAGTTGTCGGACAAAAAAATGTAAAAAATAAATTTTCCTATCCATTTTGATTGCCATTCCCTAATATTATGGGCTAAAAGAACATTTAGACAATACTAAGCCATAAAGACACTCCCGTGAACCAACCAGGGAATTTATATACCGGGTATGCTAAGGATAATGACGCTTCAATTTGAATATACTGTAACTGCAACAGAAGTATTCCTCACTAAGTCCCTGACACTGCAGTTGTAAAGATAAATGAGCTAATAATCAATGGAGTGGCTTTTCTTGACGTCAGACTCAAGTTTATGTTCGAGATACAAAGATGTTGCCAGGCATATTCACTTTACAAGCAAAATAAATTAAGTTGAAATTTTAGATTTTAAGAGAAAATCACCTATTGTGCGAACGACAAAGACGTGTTGTAATATAAAATTAAGGACAGGAGTGAAATTTGAATCTTTGTGATATGTTCTATTCAAAATTTTATTACATGTGAAATGAATAGTTGGAAGAATCACCACTTGGACATTATGAGGAATTACATAAACAAAACGATAGTTGTTGGTCGATAAAGGATAACACATTTTTTTTTAGTTCATTGACGTCAATTTTCAGTGGGATGGAGAAATGATTACCGTTTTGAGATTATTGAATTCCCTCTATAATACTGTACAGTAATATACTGCTGTACAATAATAATTTTGTATCTCTGAAAAGTGTGCAAAATTTAAAAATAATATAAACATTGGGAGCCTAAAATTTGCGAAAATAGCAGGCGACAATTTTTACTGGTTTTTCTAAAAATTAAAAGGTATTCCATTTAAATAAGACAATTTCCAAAATAACAGATTAACAGTGCAAGTTGTTGTTTTCTGAAGCTACAATCGGCTCATAAAACCATAAACCGATTTTCGTAGGTATTTATAAAAGGATGACATACCAATTGAGACAAACATTACTTTGGCACTATGACCTTGATTTCATTCTAATGGAATGCTTCAGTTTACCAGGCGAGTTAGAGCTAGATGATCAATGAACATCCACAACATAGTGATGTCCTCAACTTTTGAAAGAACACCTTCGTCCATTTTCAGTCTAATTGTATAATCCCGTTGGAGCAACTAAACAGGTTTAAGCAAGAGTAACATGAACACAAACATGCTTCAGTCCAGGTCGCCAAAGAGCAGCGCCCTCAACGTTTGGACACAAACCTGACATCATTGATTTACAATTATATTGACAGACTTCATTGTCCGCTCCGAAGGGAAATAAAAATATGAAGCAATTTTATTGTTTATACAAAGTTTTTCCAAATCATATCATAGTAAAGTAATATCCATTACGCATTGTCCATCTAATGGGATATTGACAACCATTATTCATATTACGATATTCTGCAAAAAAACATTAACCACAAAAAAACGCAATATGCATTGATATAGGAGGGATCATTCACCATTAAACCCAAATTGATGATGTGCTTGAGAGGAAGGAGTCAGAATTAGATGAAAATCTTTCGGTGTGTTAGCGATGTTTGACCGCTTTCTTTAAAAAAAAAACGTGTTTGTGATAAGTGGTTTGGCCGAACTTACTTGTTTTCTATGTGTAGAAATTTACTGTGAATTTCGTGCTTGAGTTACGATTTTAAATTCACTACAAGTAGCTATAACAGGGCTAGAAACGAAGTTTATCATTTTGACTCGAAAACAAGCTAAACAGTATGAATGCGGTATTTCTACTCAGCCTCACACTGCTATATACGATGTACTCACAAGCAACCGGTAAGAAAATTCACTATTTATTGAAAACATTTTGAAGATTTACTGGTTTGTAACCTAAGGCGGGACCTTTTTTCTTGATTAGCGAACCCGATTTTGTATAAAAATTAAATTTTATTTTTGGCCAATTAGCGCAGCCACCGCCATGAAAAAATGGGAATTTCAGAAAAAGAATAAACGTTACGCCTTCCGCTGCCTTGAAATCTAAAAAAAAAATACGATATATATTTCTTCATAATTATATAAATTTAAACCATTTAACCATCCCATTATTACACAGTTAACATTCACTAATAAAATGTTATTTTTAATTTCTCCTCCGCCTAAATGTTGTGGATGCAAAGCAATTTCCTAAAAAAAAAAATTATTTTTCCGCCCTGCTCTGACGATCTTTTAAAAAAATTAAGTTTGGAAAACAAGGTATAAAAAATCTCATTATGAGGTTTAGGGTTTAGGAAGTGGAGTTGTTTTGGTCGTGAAAAGAAATCATGCAACACTGACAGAAATACAACACAGGACCCTGGGATTGGTAGGAAAATATCACCAAGCTATTCAAATCCACTCAAATACATCACTGACTGTTGGTCTTTTTTTTGTTATTGCCTATACAAAATATTACAACAAAAACAAAACATAAAACAAAGTAAAGTAAAGCTTACACCCCTCATTCCCCCTCCCCTCCAATACCCTCTTTTTCAAAACAAAACGGGGTACAGCATTGAAGGTGGTGTTTCGTACTGGTCAAGGTCACCACCTTCAACCACTTGAATGTTTAAGTTTCAGAAAATATAAATGCTCAATCCTCAGATAATTTGTGCTCTCGTCGTACAACGTTGTCAATGGCAATACTTAACGGCGACAATCACCTATCAAGTCACTCTATCCAACAAACCTTGGTGAAGACATCAACTCAGTGTGTTCAGAGGTGTTTATACCACATTCCAAAATGTACATTTATAGCGTATTACGAAGTAACCGGATCTTGTGAAATTTACAGCATTGAACCTGGCTACCAAGTAGAAGAAATATTATTTCCTTCAAATGTGAAGTTGTACGGTCTCATTGTAAGTAATTCATCCGATCTACTATATAGATGTAAGATAATAATAAAATTCATTTGAAAATGCTAAACAAATTACATATAACATATAATTACTGTTATTTTGTTCTGAAGACACAGACTTGGGACTGGCCCTCTTTTTATTATTGATTATGAGTTTTAACGAGACGGCCTGGTGATCAGTGAGAATTGATGGTCTTATGTCACATGAGTAAACAGATTGTATTAGATTTTGAGAGATAAACATATAATCTAGTCTTCTATATGTTTGAGTTGATTTTCTAAGCCATGTAAAATGAGTCCTTGTGGGATTAAGTGTTCTCCATGCATCAATTACATTAACATTTTTCATAAAGTTCATTAATGTATATATTGAATTGTCTGTTATGCTTTACTGCCATTTTGGTCTAAATTTTTGTTTAATACACAATTCATATCTCCAGATATGATGATGTTACTATCCTCATTAACTATAAAGTTCTTAATAATATTGTTTAACTTTCTATAAAAAAAAAAAGACTTCGTTCACTTGCAGTATTTGGTGCATATACATTAACAAGCACAAATGACGATATGTCTATTGTGATGCTTATAATGACAAATCTACCATTTTCATCAATATGTGTTTTATTAACCTTATAGGTATCACAATCCTTAATCAGAGTTGAAACTCCTCTTGAGTAAGAAGATCCAAAGCTATGATACGCTTGACCTTGCCAAAGAAATTCATATTGATTTATTTTATTACAAGTCAAGTGCGTTTCTTGAATGAAAAATATATCAACTTTATTGTCATTTGCCCATTTGAAAATACATTTCTGAAAGTGTTTTTTAACCAAGTTCAGAAAGGATCTGCCGATGTCGGTTTTCAAGCTTTGTTGAATGGAGACAGCATCTCTGAGATCAACAGCATAGCTAAAACCATTTCATCCAGCCTAAACATAGACGATCGTGTTCAAACGATCGCAGAAAAAGAATCCTTCATCAAATTAAAGGACAATAAAGAAAACTTTTAAAACAAACCAAGCTGCAGACTAATCAATCCATCGAAACCAGAAATCGGTCGCATAAGCAAAACCATCCATCGTAATCTGATCACCAAAACCAAACTACATCAGTGGAAAAAACACCTCTGTTTAAAAGCATACAACAAAAATCCAGAAGCACGTATATACATACAACAACATTCGAATTTTACCCTTCGATTACAAAAAACCTTTTAATCAACTCCATCAAACACGCACAGAAGTCTACGAGCATTACAGAAAAAGAAATAAACAGAACCATGCAAGCACGTAATTCCATCCTATTTGACATGGAAAAAGAAAAGCTCCAACGACATGTTCGACGTCACCATGGACAGCTTCGACGGGGCAGAAGTATGTGAACTTGTCGGCTCTTTCATTCTGTCATCACTTGCAAAAAAGCTTGGCAAAAAGCAATCATGAAGAGCACATCACCAAAACAGTGTGAGAAGATAAAAAAGGAAATAATACCCATCTTTCACTCCTTTGATCTTCGCATCACAATACATGCAAACATCAAAATCACTACCTTCCTCGATGTTACACTGGACCTACAACACGATACCTACCAACCGTTTACCAAGGCGAATAACCAGTTATTGTACGTCGACTCACTCTCTAACCATCCTCCAACCATCTTAAAACAAACACCTACATCAATTAATCAACAAATATCTAACATCTGATTCCAAGACTACATTTCTCAAGGCTGCTCCCGACTATGAAAAAGCATTAAAGGAGAGCGGCTTCCAGCACAAAATGAGTGTTAAACCATCACCTGGAAAAAAAAGCCTCAAAGAAAACGAAACATCATCTGGTACAACCCTCCATTCAACAAAGCTGTGAAAACCGACATCAGCAGATCCTTCCTGAACTTGGTTAAAAAACACTTTCCTGTAGGCAATACACTTCACGAGCTATTCAACAAAAATAATGTCAAAGTTAGCTATAGCTGTTCTAGAAACATGGGAAACATCATTCAGTCCCATAACACCAGAATTCTTCGCACCAAACCACAAGAAAAATCTAATACATGCAACTGCCGAAAGAAAGATGAATGCCCCTCTCAGGAAACTGCCTCGCATCTTCAATTATCTACAAAGCCACCGTAACCACAACTGATGACGTCAAAGAGTATATCGGACTCACAGACAACACATTCAAAACCAGATTTACAAATTATAAGCACACATTTAGCTCTCCGAAGCATAAGAACAGCACCGAATTATCAAAACCTGTATGGAAACTTAAAGAAAGCAACACCCAATTCAACATTAAATGGTCCATAATTGACAAAGCTACACCATACAGTACACAAACAAAACGCTGCAATCTCTGTCCTACAGAGAAATTTCACATAATTTATTCAAACAAACCATCAACTTTAAACAAAAGAACAGAGCTGCTTTCAAATTGCAGACACAGAAACAATTAGCATATACACCTGCTGAACCCCCTCCATTATCTTCCTATCCACTCACTCCTGAAGATTGCTACTGCATGAAACAGCTGTAGAGTAAATTCACGCTTGACATACCTTTCTATTATTATTATTATCATCATCATCATCATCATCATCATCATCATCATTATTATTGCGCTCTGCATTCGCATTGAGCACTATACGTCGCTGATCTTGACAATAATATTTTGTATAGGCCTTTATACATATACCTATATATCTGTCTC